AAAAAAACCCCAGAGCCGTGAGACTGAGCCGGTCCATCATTGTTGACATACTTTGTACGCATTCCAAAGACTGGTACGGCGGTTTCTTCGGTCGACATATTTTCAGATAGATTAGAAGAAGAAAAGTTCAAAGGATTGGAATCGAGACTGAGATCTCGTTTGACAGTTCCGGTAGATTGATACAAATCGTCTGATTCGTTATCGGTTAAAGTAGGATCTTCGGTGGTGGATTCTGGTGGACCAGTTGACATAAATCCTTTTTGATTAGTATTTGAGGTGACGTTTGAATACTCTCGCTACCATGTAGGAATAAGGTTGAAAACCTGAGACTCGACGCTCTCAATTCTGCAACAGAATTAGCAACCTTTTAAAAGGTGCAACAATATAACTAAGCCTGGTGTTGACGAGACACGGGCTAGAACAGAAAATACTACGAGAGCTAATCTCGAGACGAACCTTTTAAAAGGTGCAACAATATAACTAAGCCTGGTGTTGACGAGACACGGGCTAGAACAGAAAATACTACAAGAGCTAATCTTGAGACGAACCTGACGAGGGTAGGAGGAGGATTAAAAGTGAAAGAACTTTAAAATCAATTTCCTCGATGAGTAACCACAACCTCTCACAAACATAAAACTAACCTTTTAAAAGGTGCAACAATATTAACTAAGCCTGGTGTTGACGAGACACGGGCTAGAACAGAAAATACTACGAGAGCTAATCTCGAGACGAACCTGACAAGGGTAGGAGGAGGATTAAAAGTGAAAGAACTAAAAAGAAAGAAGAGACAGTAGAAGAGTATAGAAAAATTAAAGAAACGTATAAAGAGCAGATCTTTAGTAAGATAATTTTGATAGCTTTCAGAAGAAATACTAATCTCACCTTTAAAATCAATTTCCTCGGTGAGGGAAAAAGATTCGAAAGGGAGAGAGAGAGGGGTAGATAAGAGAAAAACAAAAATGAAAAACATATGTTTGATCACGACACGTAACACAATAAAACAAATAAACTGAACGCTCCTGTTTAAACCAATCCCAATCCGTAACTGTTTCTTCTACCTTTAACGCCATCACTCAGTCCACACTTTCCTTCCTACCGGATTGGTCAAAATGAATTAGGAATCTTCTACCTCAAAGGTTTTGACACAATGTCCGGGAATACCGTTTGTCAGACTCGTACTCAAACGGTGTTCTCCAACATTTCAGGCACAATCAAGACGTTGTTAATTGTCATTTTTCAATCGAGTTTCAAAAACGAGGCCCGATCCATGTTTACCTCACGGAAATCAAGCCCAGTTTCAATGTTAAAGACTCAGACTCTACATTACAAAGCGAGATTTGATTAACGAGTATGATTTCAATGTCAACAATTGAATGGAAGAGGTCTTTCAGTTTTTAATCACGGTGTTGATGTGTGCGCTGCCATTCATTGTTTAGTTTATGAGACTCTTTCTGCCAATAAAATTTGTTAACTGTACTCGATTTTAGCTCTGTTAGTTCATTATATCGGCCTCGCCACTTCTTTGTCGCAGTGACTCAACCTGGCTAAATATCTGAAGTTCGTAAGACAGTCTGGGCTCTAACTTTTGGCGTTGAAACATGTAGGGTTATAAGGTGTCTTTATACTTGATCTCCAAATTAGGGTCCATTCCTATATATTCCATGATTTTGGCGAGTCCTGTGACCTGCTCGTGTACATTCATTTATTTAACTTCATAAATTTTCTCAAGGCTATTCAATGTTCAACAAAAAGAAATAGTCTTCACTTCAGTCTACTAATACAGTTCATTGGAGCAAGAGTGTGTAATATTTAAATTTTTTTGCCTTCCCCACGGGGGTTCAAAGAAATGCGTGAGTGCTCATCTGGTTTACATGTTTGAAAGTTTTGGCTTGATCATCCCAGATATCTGGTCATTGTTGAGGCACAGTTGATGCATGTTTACATTTGTAGAAATTTATATTTCTAAATTGATTCTGCAGTTGTGCAGTTTGAATATTTTTGACCTGAGATTTTTAGTGCGTTGTTTAAAGGCTTATGAAATGATCACGCTCGCTTCATCAAACAAAATCATTGCCTAATTTCTAGATTGATCGAATGAATATGCAATGTGTAGAAGGCTTTATAGTAATGTTGAAGTGAGATATTGTATGTTTATCACCTTAGCAATTTTTGGGCTATTGTTCTCTTGTTCCAAGAGATGAATACTAATCATCCGCACAATAACGAATCAATACACTGTGGAGTTACCCCGACTTTCAGTATTAAAAAGGAGCAAATGTCTGAGAAGCATATTCATGGAGTTTGATACATAGAAGAGCAAAAGTGTTCAAAATTCGTAAGGGATAACTTTAATTCAGTTGTAATGTGGAGGTATCGCCATCTTTGGGCGCTCTGTCAGGCACAAGCATTTGAAAAGTTGTAGTCGACAATCAGGCACATACCCGACCCTTTCACGAGGGTACAACGAGAAGTTATGTGTAATGGAACATGGCATGTAAACAAATTTGAAGGACAATCACGGTCAACACTCGAAGGATTCAGGAAGCTAAAACAAACGTCTTCTACAAAATGACATGTTGTTGGAATGGAACACGGAATTGTCAGAATTAAAGATTGGAAGGAAAAGCAGGTCGACTTTTGTTAGTTGTCTACAAAATTTGTCCTCGTGGTCTACTCAACAAGAACATGACAACAGGAAGAGTAAGCAAAATCCGATGCAGAATGAAGTTTAGTAAAAATAAACTCACCTCTTGGTGAAATAACAAAACCTGCTTTTATGATGTTAAGTCAAGTGTGGTGCTGCTGGAGGTTCGGCGTGCAGGGCAAGCCCGAGCGCGCTTGTTAGGGGTTGTGACAGCAGGTCTTTTCTTCTTGGCGGGCTCATTTGCCACAGGACCATCTGTCTTGCTGCCTGATTGCGACATAGGCGCGGTAGGATGGTCAGCGGGCCCAGACTCGAAGCCGGCTGTAGATGGCGGTGGAATAACAGGTGATTTGAAGGCCGCGTTGACCGCTTTCGGAATAAATCTAACAAAGTTGGTTTATGAGGACCTTGGTAAAAGTTTGCATGAACAATTTCAAACTTTACTCACTTCTTTGGTTTAGGTCTACCAGAATTGTCGGTGACATTCTTGGTTTTGGCAACTTTTTCTGTAAATTCACTTGCATCACGATGTCCACAAGTAGTGGAAACACGGTTGACCTACTCCGTATCATGATCAGTAACTTGAACTTGATAAAAGAAGCGGTACGTACAATCACTATGTAACAACCAGTTTCCTCATTGAAGTCCTTGAGGTAACCGTGGAACATCGCTTCGCGACCCAATTTGAGGATTCGGGGGATACCTGAGAGGTATTTCAAAGGGTGCACACGATATTTGACGTAAAACGTTGGTGCTGGCTTGATCTAGGCGAGATTCAGGAGCTTTAGTCGCGACCTCAACTTGATATGAAAGCTAAGGGAAGGTCCTGACACCTGGATGATAATCAGTATGTTGGACAGTGACCACAAGCGTTTTCGGATCTTCCACAGCGTTATCATCTTTGAGGCCGATGCAACATTCTTCAACTATAGTACCAAGTTTGGATACGATTCCAAGGCCAGTAACCCCAATGGTATCAACAACGTCACCTTTGAAGTCATCTGCTGGACCAATTACTGCATGGTCAGAACCCTCAAAATAAAATTGATCTTTGTGAGTTTCCACGGTGTTGGTGGGAAAGAACAAGCCTCTGAGGAAGTAAAATTTCCTCTCTTCGAGGGCCATGGAAGGCGAGGAGTAGCCTATGGCCCGAATCTCGTATCGGGTCTCTTCTTTGCGATCGGCACCACCACAATTGATAAATACGACGTAACTGCGGTAGCCAGATTTTTTACCTAACTCAGAGGGAACCTGCTCTCCAAGTATTGTAGTTCAGTACGTGGAATAGGGTATAGACACATGAGTTAAGTAACCTACTATACTCTCTATTTCAAAATTTCCCGAAAAGTAAACCCCGTGCCCAGTAGGTTTGTTGAAGTCGGGCTTAGGCATCCTGTCAATTTACGGTCCCACTTTGAAACAAAGAGGAAATAGGATGGGATGGGGAGTTAAAATACACGAGCCCCAAACCAAAGTTCAGGCTGACTGCCCGTCTGAAGAAAACGTGAAGCTTT